TGTAAACAAAAATTAGAAAGAAGTCAGGTTTAGGAGAGGTGATAATGACCATTTCAGAGTAAGGATAACTAAAACTAACATTTATCACGTAGTGAATGTTTACTTTATGCTAGGCACCATGGTAAGTTCTTTATGTGCGGTATTTAATTTTTTTCAACAACTGTTAGAAGTATGTAAAAATTTTACTCATTTGAATTGAAAAAAAATTCCTTTGGGAAGATTTAGCAAACGCCCCTAGGTCATGTGGTTACTGAATTTCAGAGCCAGTTTTGAAATCCAGGTGTGAATGATTTTCATAACCGTGACTTGCACCACTTTTCTGTACTGCCTTTTGCTGTCGGTTCATGAGGAAATGAATTGCCTGAGAGGATGCTGTCAACGGTCACCTCGTGTTTGTAACCTGAGAGAAAACAAAACAAACAAGAATATTAAAAATATATAAACTGTATAGAATCACGGATATTTAAAGCTGTGAATAAAAATTTTAGCTCATATACTCTAAACCTCCTAATTGAGAAAAATTTGACTCAAAATGGTCAAATGGCATTACAAACAAGTCACATCAAAAAGCATTTAATTTATCATTTGCTTCTATAATCTGACTCTGTGGGGACAGCCTAAAATTCCATGAGACCAGTTCCTTACTGCATTAGAGTGATAATGGAGGAAGGGAGAGTGTGTTGGGGGATGCAAAGCTATAGAATGGAGGATCTAGTCACCAAGTTGTTCTCCACATCTTCACAAAGGAAAAAAAAAATTGAAGAAGAAGATTGTGGTAATAATTAGGCTGAGTTTAATTTAAAATTCAGAAATAATTTATTGAGCACCTTCAATGCGCNGTTCAGCATCTTAGCTGTGGAGGGCAGTGTCACTGGCCCTCATATGTGGGATCCAAACCGGGGCCCTCTGGCGTCCCAAGCCAGCTCTTAAACAACACGCCACTCTGCCGGCCCTGTCATGTACTTTTTTAGACTATGAAGCCATGTAGCACTTCATGTTTCAGTTCTACAAAAAGGGATGGTAAAAATAAAACCTAACTCATAGAATGATCTTGAGATTAAAATGAGATAGTAAAAGTTTATATCACAGCACTATTCAATAATCATCAATTATTATTGAAGATTTCTAATAAATTAGTTTCTATCAATATTTTCTGAATGTAGTTCTCATTTCTATGATTTCTACAGATTTTCATTAAAATTATATGTAAAATTTTTGTCTATTATTCCTACATTTGCAGATTTTTTTCACCATCTTTCAGCTATACCTTGAATATACACACAAAAAATATCATTATTTTCTTTATTGGTACAATAGAGAGTGAATAATACAGGGAAAAAAGGAGATAATATTGAAAATAATAAAAATCAATCCCTGTCCTCAGGAAGGCAGCATTTTGCAGTAAAAACAATATTTACTAGACATTAGAAAACAGTTTCTACTAACTGAGAGGGTAGACTTGGGTAAGTTACTTCATTATAATTTTAGTTTCTTTCATAAAAATAAGAGGCAGTGCTCTAGATGGTTTTTAATTTTTATGATTCTAAGAATCCTACAGTATAAATGGAATGGGCAAATATTGTACAAAAACTTAAGGAAAATTTGCCCAACAACCTAAAGCAAGCATATTTAAATTATAAATACAAATGAGTTTATTCTTAATCCTTCATAAAACTGCACACTTTAAAACAAAAAAGAAAAATAAAAACCAATATATCTAAGATTAGTCTTCTTTCCAAAAATGAATGTATTCATTCTGAAGATGAATTCTAATTTGTAATAGTTTTGCTATCTCTTCTACTAAGGGTTAAAAACTACATTGTGGTTCTCTTTAGAGAACACAATATTTTGGGATTTATCCCAGCTAATAATCAATGCAGGACCCTGTGGCAAAACCTCCACACAGATGTATGGTGATCTTGTGATAGCTACAGAATTTCACTACCTCTTGTTGAGCTGCTAGTAAATGAATGCTTGGGTAGTTTTGTACACAGGACTGAAAGCAAGTAGAGGTGATGGCCCCAAGAGATGTCAGGAATGATAAATACTAAAAACCTGGAAATGTAGTTGTTGATGGTTTGAGATAGTGTTCCAGCACAGTGAGTCCCAGAAACTGACAGTCAGATATCAAAGTGAGAACGATCACTTCTAGATTTTTATGTAACGAGGGGGAAAAAAGCCTTTGCACAGGAACCACAGATACATATAAGCAGTATGTCATGAGAAAGTCATTTTCAAAGGCTACAGGGATTTGTGATTTTGTGATAACTATTAATGTATCTTCCTGATAGATTTTATGTACAAGAGCAGATGACCCTATCTGAATGTTGCCCTGTGATCAAAAGTGTATGAATTTGTTAACGTTTCACCTTACTGTATTGCATAATTTTTCTCGTTAAATATCTTTTTTTGGACACTTGTTTGTAAGAGCCTGAAAGACAGAGACCAATGCTCTATTCTTTCTGTCTCTTTGTTTCCTAGGAAAGGCTGAGCAGAGTAATTAGTACATGATAGGTCCACAGTAATAAAGCTTTATATTTCGTAATGCTCTCAAACACATTTACGTACCATTTTTCTTATAACAGTCTCATAATGAAAACAAAACAGATATTATCCATGTTTCACATAGGAAGAAAAAAACAAAACTGAAGTTCACAGATTTTCAATGACTTGTCTGAGGTCAACAGCTCCTAAACGATAGAGCTAGTACTTAAACCCCATTCCCCTCTTTTTAAACTTAAAGCTTTAGCCATCATATCACCCTGATTTTCCCCCCATTTCAGCAGGTGTGCTAACTTATAGAAACCTTAAATGGTTTCTTTTATGTGACATTACTGACAAGGAGGTGAGACAAAATGCAAGCCCAGGGCTAAATAAAAGTTTATCATATTATTATGGGGTTCGGAGTAAGGATATTGAAAATAAAAGTATATCATTCTGCTGAACACTTTAAATGGGGATAATAGTTTGGAGATCCTACCTAAAGAACACAAGTTAAATTGAATGCTTCTTTGTTTGTTTGTTTTGTTTTGTGTTTATGGAGGTAAAAGACTTAGCAATATAAACAAGAGATGACATACTTCATTTTGAGAGAATGAATAACGCTTCTCACTCCGCTGCTTGTGCCCTAAATTATAACTGTTAAGATTCATTGAGTAACATCAATACTACATG